AATGTTTTATGTTATGAGTGCTTAGTGTATATTTAGTTGATGTTTTTCTTAGTTCATATCTTAGATGTTATTACTGTTTTTCTTATACATTTTATTGTTGGATGTAACTGGGACCCTGTGTACATAATTTCGCTCCACCACATGTACCACATGAGGTGCGAATGACAATAAAGAAACTCTGACTCTGACTTAATAGGCTCTGACTATAAATCAAAAATCCAAAATGGCTGCCTTAGCAAACAAAGGAAAAATACTATAAATCAGCAGATTTTAGTCATATTGAGCTAAAATTAGGTGTGATGATAGCTGACAATGTTTCCCATCAGATACTGCATCAAAATCAAAAATCCAAGATGGCTGCCTTAGCTAAAAAGGACAAAATACGATAACCCAGGCATTTTTAGAGATATTCAGCTGAAATTTGGTGTAGCGGCTGAGAGCGAACCCAAACACACAGTACTGTCAGATCAGCAGTTTATATCAGCAGCAGCCTGGCCGTCCGTTACATTAGGAACAATTGTGCACGTTCTGCTTGCTTCTGAAATTTGGAGCTTCTTTCTGATGTTTGAAGCTACTTTTCAACTATTTTCTTCACATTCTTAAGCAAAAAGCATTCACACTTGCATGTTCGCAGGAAACGCACATTATCCAGTTAAAACTTGTATTTTTAAATCTGTCACTCTTTGAGCTTCATTTTCTGCTCTGTATTTCTCTCTGCCTGTCGTATTAGTAGTCAAAAAGTTATTATGCAAAAACCCTTCATAAAACAACAATTCTATAAATTTATTGAATAATTCTTTATAAATACACTGGCCTGTAAAATGGGTACATTTTTTCTTTATGTTGCAAACTGACAATAACTTTTAGTAATTTAGAACGACTAAATGCTGCTTTAGAATTAGAACAAATTGAAAACATTTCCTCACTCTGCTGCTGTCTTTACTTGTTCTACTCTTACCTGTTTGTATTTGCAATTATTTCTATTTTAGCATGTGTGGGTTTTTTTTGTCTTTCCTCCTATCCACATTATTCTTGGGGACTTTACTGTATAAATAATTATGGGTACAACTTCCTGTCAGACAGGAAGTAGCAGTAAGCATTGGGTAACCATGGTAGCTGAGCATGGACCGCCGTTTATTTGAAAGTAATTTACATTGAGTTCAGCAGATAAAACTCTGCTTTTATTTTGTTTACATTTATTTAACAACCATAAAGTTTACTAAAGTAGCCGTGCTGCGTTCAGGTACCTGTTGTGTTCAGGGCTGCAGAACAACCAGACCAAACTAAATCAGTGGCTCCAACAACAGAGTTTTTAACACGGACCCAAAACAAAAAGAGTTCCAGTGAAAAGAGGTTTAGTTTCATCTTCTACCTACAGATGAGGAATTAAGAAGAACGTGTCTGAACAACGTGAACTTGAAGAGACCACCAAAAACTCTGCATGGGAGCTCATTTCACTTTGTTGACAAACGACCGACGGAGGAAAACCTGCATCCTACTTTGAGTCTGGACGACAATAAACCACCGGAGAAGAGACGCCGGATCCTCAGAAGGATTGAAAACAGTGACGAGAACATCAGGGATGACTTCAGGTGTATGGAGGACACAGCTTTATATATTTGTTCATCTTCAGTTTATGATTTTCTCTGTAATTAACCCAAGCTCAGTGATGGAGGACTTTAAGACTTTGTCTGGACTCTGTGTCTGATTTAATGGTAAATGTACTGTACTTATATAGTACCTTTCTATCTTACTGAGATACTCCAAGTACTTTACACTACGGTCTGTGCCCTCATTGACCCATTCATGCAGCACTCTACCATACAGAGACTAATCAGTCCTTCATCACTTTCATACACTGAAGGTACACATATCAGAGGCAATGAGGGGTTCAGTGTCTTGCCCAGGTACACTTGAGCATGTGACTGCTGGTGGAATTGAACCCCCAACTCTTCCATTGGAGGACGACTGCTCATCCACAGCCGAGTAAACTTTAAGGTAAATAAGATTGTGCCCCCCCTCTTTTAACAAAACACCACGACCTTATTACTGTGTCGATACTGATACACCTCAGAGCTTCTCAGGTTGTTCATCCCTTCACTGTCAGAATGAAGCAGCCAAATGTGCTAGTAGCTGTAACCTGCAGCCACTTCTTCAGCTCGTCTTCCATCCCTCTTCCTCAGCAGGCAGCAGTATGATTATATTGTCCTGGTTGAGCTCTGACCAATGGTGTTCCTACATGTTTAAATTAAACCCACAATGCTCAGAGAAACTGCATTAGCTCGCACTGTTCACACAGAAACAAACACTGTTTCTGGTCCACACCGGAAGTCATGCCGGTAATTCACGGATGGCAGCATGTGGGCTAGGAATGAGGTGGATAGAAAGTACCCCTGGACCTGTCATTCTGTGTCCGTTTCCACTTCCTGTCCTCTTAAACTCAGCTGGTCAAAGCAGATGGTCTCTTGTCCTGAGCCTGGTTCTGCTGGAGGTTTCTTCCTGTTAAATGGGAGTTTTTCATTTCCTCCGTCTCCTTTGTGCTTGCTCAGGATGGGAGACTGTGACAAAGTAAAGTTTCAACACAAGCCGCTGGCTTCCTTGCTACTTTCACTAATTGGCTTTTTAATGTTTCTTTTTAATTTTCAGGTCTCTCTTGTAAATGAGTCCCCGAGGCTCCATGGGACTAACCTGTATAAATAAAGGTTGACTGAATGTATGTGAATGTTTCTGTTCAGTGCCCTGACATGACTTCTCTTGTGATTTGGAACTATTTAAATAAACTGATTGAATTGAATATCAGGAGATGTTTTACAGACAAACTGCTTTGAGAGTGTGCTGAAACAACACTGACCCTAATGTGCTCAAACAGTCTGTCCGTCAGCACCCTCACTGACTGGTTGATGATCCTGTCCAACGAGGAGGTAGCTCTGCGTGCTGACTCCTCACTTCCCTGTGGGTCACACTGTCTGCATCGCTCCACAAAGGTTCTGCAGGTTACATGACACAAACCACTTTTAGGTTATTTATTTGAACAAATATTGCTGTTGGTATTTTTGTACCTTAAGGGAGGGCAGCAGTTGACCAGAGCTATGGTCCTGGACACGTATCCATCTCCTCTGTCTCCAAACTCTGCCTGAGTCTCATGAAAGATCTCAACCTTCCTCTGGAAACTGGAAACACGGGTTTATAATATTTTTAATGCAAGATCAGTCTGTGTGAACTAAAAGTAGGTAAAAGCAACAATATTCAGGCTAATAAGGAAATATTTGAACTAAGTGAGCTCAGTGTGCGCATCAGGACCAACACATTGATGAATCACAACAATGTTAGCAAGAAGAACGAGCACATGTCATCTCAAATGAGACAGTGCGCCATAAAACAACCCTATCTACCTATAACAGCTTTACTCAGCAAATTGATTATTGATTATTGACACTTGATTATTTTTTGAAAACTGACAGCAGAATAGAGAAATGTAACGGTTTCTATCAGTCAAACATTTTAATGATAAATTTCATACCTCTGCTGTTCTCGCATGCAACTTTTTCTAGTTTAATTGACTCCGTTTATTTAGTCATTTCATTTACTTACATAACATCACAGCAGATTTATTAAGCTAAACAAAAGTACAAACACCAAGTTTTTTTGGACCTGACATGCTGGATATGGTCACCAGTGACCACCACGACTCAAAAAGGAAGAAGTGGGTAAAAGATGGATGGATGGATGGAAGGATGGATGGATGGATGGATGGATGGATGGATGGATGGATGGATGGATGGATGGAAGGATGGATGGATGGATGGATGGATGGAAGGAAGGAAGGATGCTCTCACCTGTACAGGAAGTCGGCCAGTCCAATCAAACTGCAGCGAGCCACTCTTGCCCCCAAGAACTGGCTCACTGATGTGGATCTGTCCAAGTCCACTTTCAACCTCTAGAAGTATTAAATGTGGAGATGTACATTTCAAACAAACAAACAAACAAACAAACCTTTTCAAGAAGCTGTGCCACCTTACCTGGATGACTGAGCGTGCTAGTTGTGACTGATACTCCTCAATATACAGAGTCTGGGCCCATCGCCTCTCCTCTTCATCTAGAATCTGAATCAGTTCGGTGGTTACCTTATCCTGAGATTCAGAGTATGAAATAAGTTTTCTATTTATTTATTTATTTATTTATTTTTGAATGAGTAGCTAAAGACTTGATCTCTCCTCTCACCCTGACTATCTGGATGCAGTCTTGTTCTAGCCTGTCCACAGTCTGCTGAGGAAGGATAGGCTCCAGAGCAGCATAATTTATTGGCATGTTGGTGCCAATGGTTCCCAGGACATCCCTTGGAGAAAATGAATCATAGATATTGCATAATAGCAGAAACTAGATATGCTGTCATAACATTGAAGTATTTGGTAAACATTGTGTTTTCACCAACCTGTTGTAGATGTTGTAGAACCAGTCAAGCAGTGCGTAGACATCTGTAATCTGCAGCGGCTCACTGGTGATGGTCCGAAGACGTTTGGCCACAGCTCGATGGTAGCTTTCTACATATACTTGGAAGGCTGCAAACTCCTCTGGGTAAATGGATACAGCATTCCTTCTGGCTGCATCTAGATCATCCACCATCCTGCTCTTGAGATGTTCCAGATACAAGGCCAGCTGTCCTGCTTGGGTGTCCACCTGTTGAGGCAGGCTCCAGTCTGCAGCTTCTGCCACTGCCAGCCTCCACTTAATCTTTAGCCGTCGAGGGCGCTGACTGGGGTGGATGTTAGAGCTTGCATGCTCTGTTTTGGTCTCCTCTCTTAGAGCCCAGGCAGCATCAGCATACTCCTCCTGTTGGATTACCAGCACTACTAGACCAAGGTTGGGACCAGCACTAGGCTGACGGAGAGATTCTCGCACTACGTCCCACATCTCCTTCTGCAGGGCTTCATACAAAAGTTCCACATCTTTAGCCTTCCTTCTGCTTGAGTCTAGGGTTGCATTAGAGCTGAGGGACTCATCTAAGGATGAAGATGATAAAGGAATTCCACCAAATGGGGTACTAGGACTTAATGTCGGAGTGAGGGTGGGTGTAGTTGGGCTTGGCAGCAGAGACAAAAGCTCACACTCTCGCTCCAGCTCCTGAATCTGTGTGTCAGCCAGGAGAAGGTCTCTGTGATTGACCAACTGTAGGATCTCCAAAACTGTTGGGAGGAAAAAGAAATCCATGTTTCATTTCAGATGATGCAGTAACAAAATGATATACAGTCGATATGATTATGGACATGGCGCATGGCCAGACCAACACACTGGTCAATTTGTTGCTCATTCTCTACATTCTTCTGTCCTCCCTATAGAGTAAGCAAACAGCAGCTTGGTTGGACTTTTTTAGGAACCCGGGGCAGAAGGAAGTGCAGTTATTTCCTGGTTTCACAGTCTTCTGCTAAACAAATATAATGGCTTAGGAATCCGGGACCTTTCGTTGTAATCAGAAAGTTGACTTGATCTGAGAGGAAAGACAAATAAAGTTTGACAAAGAAATGCTGAGTTGATGCTGCTTCCTTGATTCCTACCTGATAGGGGCTCTCGGGTTTTGACTACTTGTTCTTCCTCCATGATTTCCTCGTCATCCTCTTGGGATGTCTTGTCTGACATGGACTCTCTCGTCAGTTTGCCCAGACTGACGATCTTTAAGAAAGAAGGTCTTCTGGAGCCCACGGGATCACACTCTGTGGTCAGGTCCCCACAGGGCAGGCTTTCTCTGCGTTCCTCCTTACGCCGACCTGTGAAACTACACAGCAGCAGCACGAGAGCATTACGGTCTCTTCAGGGACTTGGAATCATAATCAGGAACAATCGGCCTGCAGAGAGCATTGCCCTGAACCGACTGAAAGCTGCAGCTATAGTTGGAAACATTCACACATCTACTAAACTGTGGTGCTACAGAGAATGGTCACCCAAGATAAAAATAGACCCATTTACTGAGTCTGTTAGGAGCAAAACATGCCAATGAAAAACAAAAGAGATTCTGCAGACCAATAGCATTGTATTTTGTATTACATAAACCCACAGAAACTAAACAGGCATGCAACAATAAGAAGGGATTTCTCTTTAGAACTCTCAAAATTCAGAAACGTTGGAATAAACAGCAGAACAGTCATTTTATATCTTTTATGCCAACTTTTTCTATGATTTTATTTGAGCATTTTGGCACTGATTAATGAAGGTAGTTGATCCTAAATAATGTAATATACAAAATTTTCCATTTTGTCTCAAAACCTTTTAAGGGTGTTATATATATATATATATATATATATATATATATATATATATATATAT